AAAGAAAAGGTAAGGCTAGTGTAAAGAAAAAAGGTAAGGGTAGAGTAAAGAAATAAAAGGTAAGGATCGGGTAAAAAAAAGAAAATGTAAGGATTGTGTAAAGAAAGAAAAGGTAAGGATGGTGTAAAGAAAGAAAAGCTGAGGATCGTATAAAGAAAGAAAAGATAACTATAGTGTAAAGGAAAAAAGGTACGTATGGTGTAAACAAATAAAAGGTAAGGATAGTGTAAAGAAAGAAAAGGTAAGGATAGTATACAGAAAGACAAGTTTAAAGAAAGAAGAGCTAAGTATAGTGTAAAGAAAGAAAGAAAGTGTAAAGATAGAAAAGGTAAGGATAATATGAAGAAAGAAAAGATACTAGAAAGAAAGAAAGAAAGAAAGAAAGAAAGAAAGAAAGAAAGAAAGAAAGATAGGGTAAAGAAAGAAAAGGTAAGGATAGTATAAAGAAAGAAAGAAAGAAAGAAAGGTAGGGATAAGGTAAAAAATTAAGGATAATATAAAGTAAGAAAATGCAAGGATAGTTTAAAGAATAAATTAGGAGAGTATAAAGAAAGAAATGCTATTGATAATGTAAAGTATCAATAGTTAAATCTAATATAAAGAAAGAAATAATCGAAGAATAACAATGATAATACGTAAAATTGAAATGGAAATCATTCTAGAAGACGTCTTACAGAAATAAGATCATCTATATGACGTATCTCTTCGGGATGTTGGCGAGTATGTCACCACAATTTCTTCTCTTTTGTAGTTCTTGATAAATTTGTCTTTTTCTGATCTCTCTTAAAACTCTTTTCCGTTTCTCAAGTTCGCTAAGTAGTTATGCTTTGTTTTCTTTTGTCTCTCTTGCCTTCAGTCTGTGAATATCAAATTTTGCAAGATTTCCTGATGATGTGCCCTAAAAATTTCAAACTTTTTCTGAAAGTTAAGTACTTTTGTTTTCATTTTCTCTAAGACTTTGTCGTTTCTGACATGTTCGGTCCATGGTATTTTCAGCATCCTTCTGTAGAATCACATTTTTTTTTGCTTCAAGTCTCTTCATCTGTCCACCATTCGCTACCAAATAAGATGATATTATGTAAAAGTTCACTGTACTTTTTGATATAATGGAATATGCGTACACCTGTGTTCCCCCTCACTGGAATATGATTGGCTAGTGTCCGTCATAAATACCGACGGACGTGTGGTAGAGTCAAGAACCTTAGTCTGAGAGCTAAGTCTATAACGACGCCCATTGGACTACGCCATTGATCTACACTTCTTACCTGCGACTACGACGCGTACCAGTCGATTACTGCTACCGTATTCTACTTGGTTATAATAGCCAAAACCACTTAGCTACTTCGTTCAAATATATCCCTTTCCGGAACATATCACTTTTCTTTGTGCATAATGAACATTTTCTGTATCTTATTACTCTACTTAGCTTTTGGAAGGTGAGATTAAAATAATTTTTAAGGGAATTTCAAGTTTTTTTAAGTTCATTTAATGACATGACACGATTTATTTAATACTGCTCATTTCAATTTTAGCTTTAAGGTTGTGTTCTTTTTAGTATTCAAGATCTTAGCTGACAGAAAGGCAAGGAGCTGGAAGTGAGTTCCACAAGCGACAAGTGTCACAGAAGAAACCTGTTGCATAGAATGTATGCCAGGGAAATTATGAAATAAATCTTCCATTTCAGTACTGCGCTTAGAATTGTGAAGTTTAAGTATCAACAAGGAAAGCTCATCAGAACAATTGCTATAATAATATTTATAGAAGAGGCAAAACATAGTGACTGAAGAAGATAATTTTAAACATTTCTATTGATAAGTTCCTTTTGCACAAGTCAATATGTTTCAAGGTAGGTCTTTTTTCGTGATAAGTCTCCGCTCACTACAATACCCGAGGGGTAATGAACTCTGCCAGGTAAGGACGTTTAACTTCCTAACTTATCTGAGGTACCCGCATACTCGGAGATGAAAATAAAAAACAAACAATAAAACAGAAAATGGAAACGAAGACAGAAAAACAAATATTACAAAAATATAAAAGTTAAGAATAGATTAAATATATATATATATATATATATATATATATATATATATATATATATATATATATATATATAATAAAGTCGATGAATAAATGGAACATTTTTCCTTTCCCAGATATTACCTTTTAATCAGCTGGAACACCATGAAGTATGTGGCATTGTTTTTGTATCTAAGCAAAAGCTACGTAGATTCTAACTTTTGAAAAAAAAGTAATCTTCCGCATTTCGTTTGTGCGAAAGAACGAGTAAATATATACTCCACTCTTTTTCCTCATAAGATGCCGAGTTCCTGGCGATCGGGAACACGGGCAGCACCTTCCACTATGTAGTAGAATCCGTAGAGACGCCATGACGCATGCGTGAATATGCATCCAAACAAAGTGAAAATGTGCTTTGTTTAGAAATGGTCTCGTACCGCATCTTATTCGCGTTCCCGAGTGGATAAATAAAAAGAATATGGAAATATTTTTCTGAATAAATGACTGTGTGTTGTTTGCATAAGCATAATTTACATAAATTTTGTTACCCTCGTGAAATTTAGGCGACATTCGTGATAGTAGTGTAGAATAACAGAGTGGGTTTAAAGTTGGAAAAGCTGCCATAATTTAAAAAATGAATTATGTCAGTTCTATTTCATATTTTACTTGTTATTTATGTGCTTTTTGCAAAGACGAAGTTGTAAGCTATATAACAAACGAAAATAAATGATGTTGTCAAAAAATATTCGATTCAATTATGCACCCTGTGAGCTTATGTTGGTATATTTACCAAGTGTTGTATGGAAAAGTTTGTAATGAACTGTTATCTGAGTGAACAGCATACCACTTGAATCCGATTTTTACTGTAAGAAAATGATTCTGTTTACTTCAATTATAAATTCCGTTTTGCACTGAATAAGTACAGTATGGTTGTCTGGATGGTAGAATCCAAAATTAGAACTACAAATTTGGAAATGCCAAAATCAAGCAAGTAGTAAAATTTAAATATCAAGAAAGTGTTTTAACAAAGTAAGGAAAATATGACTCAAAAATTCAGCGAGCATTGGAAAAGCGAGAGATGTACTTAACAAGCTCAGCAAAATATTAAGTAACGGAAAATTCCATTAGTAACAGAGAAGAGTGTGCTTTAATATATCTTCCTATACAGCAGCGAACGATGGAAAATCTTGTCACAGATGAAGAAGAAACTTTAGGCAATAGAAATATGCTTCTACAGACAGATTCTGAGAATACCATGGACTTAACTTGTGAGTAAGAGGAAGCTTTTAGGAAAATAGAAGTAAAACAGACGCTTGTACCTAAAAAGAAAAAAAGAAACATAAAATTTCTAGGACACGTAAATAGAAAAGATGGTTTGGAAAATTTGCCCCTCACAGGACATCGAAGGCAAGACGAAAAGAAGGCACCAGGTAACAGAAATATGGTTCTACAAAACGATGCTGAGAATAAAATGAATGGAGCCTGTAGGAAACGAGGAAATTTTCAGGAACATGTACGCAAAATAAACCTATTTAGAATCAGAAAGTGACTGTTGCAATGATGAGGAAAGAAGACTTGGAAATTTTGACAGTCATAGGACATATTGAATTCAAGAAGGACAGAAATAGACAGCGAGTAATTTACTTTATCTGTCATAACAGTTCCGCGCTCTTTGTTGCTAATGAAAATTTCTTCTTTCTTAGTAATTTGCTTAGCTTGTAATACAAAATTTAAATAATATAGAGGTTCATGCGTAAGAATTTTGGGTTTTTGGTTTTTGATGTCGAAGAATGTACACTCATATTTTCTAGACTAATGAAAAGCATTTGATAAGGTTCGGCATAAAGATCTATCTGAATTGTTAGGAAAACTTAACTATTTGCAAAGGAAATTAGAATAATCCAGAACTTAGACTGGAACCAAACCAACTGCATACGAATAGAATCTGAATTGAGTAGTTGTACAAAAATAGAAAGACGCGTAAGACAAGAATATCTCTTCTTACTGGATCTATTTAATCTCTACAGCGAGACTATCCTAACGGAGATGAAGACTCTACCAAGAAATTATAGGTCGGCGAAATTTTAGAAATATGAGATACGCAGATGTCACTGTGTTGGCGGCAGGCACAGAAGGAACGTTACAGGAACGCCTGCACAATGTAGTAAAGGAAAGCAAGAAGGAAGGACTATCACATGTAAGAAGACAGAATTTATAGTTGACAGAAAGATAAAAAGCCCAAGATACGAACTACCAATTGGAGATGCCAAAATCAAATAAGGACAGAAGTTTAAATATCTGGAAAGAGATTTGACAGCGGAAAGAAAATAATGCTGAATTCCTATCTAAAATTAATCCTCCTACATGTCAATAAATACATGACACTTTCGAAACAAATTATGAGGATTATTTGCTCAATGTGCTGCTACAGAAGGATGCTAAGCATACCGTGGACGTAATACATGAACAAAGAAGTCTTCAGGAAAATACCCCCCACCAAAAAAAAAAAAAAATAAAACAAGCAAACAAAACAAAATGATTATACTCAGAATCAGAAAGATAAATTACTTTGACACATAATGAGGAAAGAGAGCTTTGAGAAATTGACACTCACTTGGCGTACCGAAGGCGAAAGCGACAGGGATAGGTGGCGAGTCCCCTGTCTAAAGGGCTGGTGCAAATGGATAATGGATTATGGAGAAATGACAAAAGTTACAAAAAGCTAAAATAGATAGGCAGTTGTGGAGAGGATTTATCGGCCACGGGAAGGGAAAATATCACATAGAAGTTGTTCTGTACTGCCAAACGCTAAGCTTATTATATATCCATGTACCTTAAATTTATCACATAATGTGCGTGTAGCTGAGTGCGTAAAATTAATCCCGGGTTCGAATCTCAGGGAGGTGATTTCATCACAATATCGGTATGGGGAGACCCAAGTAACTAGATTTGTGTTGACGGAACTGTTCAGAACACGTCGACCGATGCGTTCACTTTGTTCAAAAGCTGTTAAGTACGCTAGAGTAAGCGTTCTCCAGCAGAAAGAGTAATTACAGTCTTTTCGGCATAACCCTTCTTCGTCTACGTACCGTGTCCCTTCAGGACGTTAACGAGCATGAGTCTCCACAATTTCCTGTCCTTCGACGATCTTAATAATTTTTGTTTTTTTTCTTATCTCTACTAAATCATGTTCTGCCATTCATTTCCACAAGCTCGCTAGGTATGTTATACAATGTTTTCCTCTCATACATTTGCTTTCAAAATACTTTCCAAGCCCTGTTTCCTCATTATGATCCCTAAAAACTTCAACTTCTTAATGTTAATTAGTGTACATTTTGTTTACATTTTCTCTAAGACTTCGTCCTTGCTCCATGTTCAGTCCATATTATTCTCAGCATCCTTATGTAGAACCACATTTCTGTTGCTTCCGGTCTCGTCTTCAATTTTGAGAAGACTGTCATGAAGGAGGACATATATTGTGTAACAATTCAATAGACTTTTTTTCTTGTTAAAGAATGTTTTTAGTTTCATAATACTTAGCTTTAGGGAGGCATCTTTCACTATCCCAATGCGCCGTCAGTGTTTCATTTTACATCCTCTGTTGAAAAGAAAAAAATCACATATATTTAAATATTTGTACTTGATTTTGGTATCTGTAATTTGTAAATTTTGTGTTGTTGATCACCATGAATTCTGTCTTCTTGCTATGGATGGTTAGTCCTTTTTTTTTCTAGGTTTTCCTTCACTAGCTTCTATAAGAGTTTTTGTTGTTTCCGTTCTGTCAGTGATCACCACCGTGTCATCTGCATGTTATTGATATTATAACCGCAAATAATAAATCCTGGTATAAATTCTCATTCTCTCGGAATTGCCGCTCGGAATGAGTCAGGTGAGAAGACAAATCCTTGTCTTACACCCCTTTCTTTATTTTGTATATTTACTGAATTTATTTTGTATGGTAGCATTATAAACCACAGGGTTTGCAACCATATCATGTTGAAACATTGGTTCCCGTACGATAACCGAAATTAAGCAACGTTGACCAGATTCGGTACCAAGATAGATGACCGCTTGGGAATAACAGGTATTGTACTGTTTCAATTCCGGTTGGTTTCGTTGTATTAATTTGTATGTAAATACCATTGGGAAAGCTATGAACCCACTTCTCCCTCTAGCTATGGGTTAATTAGTAAGAATTATATCACTAAATCATTATTATCTAAAAGAAAGAAGATTTTTGCAATTTGAAATTATTTTCTGGTTTTAGATAACCTGCAAGTAGTTGATAAGCCATAAAAAATGAATTTAATCAAAGTAAATCATTATAAAGGACAGGTTGGCTCAGTGGGTTTTGAAAAACATAGATGGGTAACTGGGATTAGATAGCACGTTAGCAGACCGATGTATTGATAAACGAGCAATCTGCCATTTATGTTATTCTGTACTTTTTTATTTTGTACAATAATATTGATTAAATTATTCTTGAAACAGGATGTCATTTCCCGAAGAGCTTGCAAAATGAAGATTGAATGAAGTAAACAGTGTGATGTTTTCAGAAAAGTAGGTATTTGAAGAAGTATATTAGTTGAAAGCTGGTGACTAAAACAAACACAATGAGGATACCACCTCGAATGAATCAGCGCATGGTCTTTTAACGCGTTCACTCACATTCACACATGCGAGTGCGCAGATTGGGCTCGTTTTAAGCGCGAAAAAAAAAAACAAAAAAAAAAACTAAAATTGTATTTCGAGCATTAAATTACCCAAACGCATTAAACAGTTTAGGATTAAGGATCGCTTGGTGTTTGTTTCCGCTAAACGATGCCCCGGGTTTCCAAACGCCATATTTTATCTACTGCTGTAACGATAAACACTGGCAGTTGATTATAAAAGAGTTGTGCAGATACAGTAGCAGTTGGAACTGCAATTATATTAAAATACTTTTGAAAATATACTGAAATAGAAAATCAGAAAATAATGCTTGTAATAATATTGTCTCACAGTAAATTCTCTATTTAAAAAAAAAAACCGTTCATAAAAAAAAAAAAATTACTCAAAAATTATAGCTAAAAGCCTTTTTGAAAAAATAATTTACAATTTTACGGTTAAAATTCTTATTTCATATTTTTTCTTTATTGTTTATCGATTGTTAGAGTTTACTTGGTTATCACTAGGCTTACACGTGACCGGAAGCGGAAAAGCCATAAAAATAACGATCAATTAAATAAAATAAATTGGATAAATAAAATAAATTCTGTCCGTTCTTGCTTTCCTCCTATTTGATTTTAGGACTGTTTTTTTTTCTTTTATCAGTATTTTCCCCTTGTTTACGATATCTACAACTATCTTTTTCTTCTCTTTTTAGGCCATTTTTCATTGCAAATTCGATGTTTTCCGACATTTTGCCTCTTCTGCATTCCTCTCATTTCTCTTATTCTCACTTCAAATTTCAATCCGTTTTTCTCTTATAAAATTTAAACGCTTCCCCCACCTTTTCTATATGGTTCTTGTTTTTCGTTCGTTATTTATTTCCTGTCTTTCACCATATTTTCATTTTTTTTCCCTCTCTTTCATTTTATAAAAGCTCTTTCACCACACTGTTCGTTTATTTCTTTTGTCTTGCTTGCAATTTTTATGCGTTTCTCTTCTCTTTGTCATTCTTCCTGCCATTGGCGATTTTCTTTGTCTTTTTACGTTTGTCTTTCTATAAAATTTGAAAAAAAAAAAAAAGACATTGCATTCTTTATTGTTCATTTTCTGTTTTTCACCTCCGCTTTCAACCAACCAAGTCCCTTTCTTCCACACAGTCTTTTTTTTTACGAGCTTCGCCTCATCTAAACCCGTTTTTTTCCAGCATTTTTCTTTACTTCGTATTTTCTTATATTTCCTCTTCTTGCAATTTTGAAAATCATTTAATCCTTCCTATTTTTTCTCTCCAAATTTTATCATTTCCCCCCCTTTTTTTTATCTTTATCTTGTTTCCTTAAGCTCCGTCTTTTTGCGAGCAGCTCACCTCTAAAAAGAAAATAAATATATTTGGATACAAGCCTGAAAATCTTTTTAATTGCTTTGGTATGGTTTCTGTTACCGAACTTTATTTTAGTGCCTTCTCTGATTTATCATTGGCTTGTTAACTTCCTCTTTCCCTTGTATTGATGAAGGGGGCACTGAAAAGTTCTCGATCTGACCCACTTCCCCAAATCAGTAATCAATGACTGAACATCAAAATATTGGTACAAGAAAGTGGACCGAGCCGAGAATTTTTCAGCACCCCTCGAATTTTCATAGATGATGTCACTCACTATCTTTGCGTTTCATTCATCTACCGAAAAAAGCATTCACCTTCATTCATTTATTACGTCGATCCAACAAATATTGTTTAGTTTCTTTTTTATTTTGTTCTTTATTTAATTTTCTTGCTTTTTTCTTTCACATTTTAATGTTCTTTCTTTCTTTCTTTTTTATTTACCGTTTATTTATTTTTCCCCCTTTTCTTTTGATTTTTATTTAATTTTCTTTCTATCTTTTTTATTTGTACCTTATCTTACTTTCTGTCTTTCTTTTTTTCATTTACTCGTTATATAATTTTCCTTCTTTCTATTTTATTTACTTTTTATTAAATTTTCCTTGGTTTTATTTTTTCTTTTCTTCTTTCTTTTCCTTTTTTTCATTTATTTTGAGTTCATTTATTTTTCCTACTTTTTCATTTATTATTTGCTTAATTTTTTCCCTTTCTTTCTTTCTTTTCTTTCTTTCTTTCTTTCTTTTTCATTTATTCTTTCGTTACTTTCCTTCTCCCTTTTTTCCATTTATTTGCTTATGTATTTTTGCGTTCTTTCTTTATTTATCATTTATTCTTTCCTTAATTTCTTCTTTGATTTTTTATTTATTCTTTGTTTATTTAATCTTTCATTGTTTTTTCTTTTTATGCCTCCTTTTTTTCTTTATTTTTCCTTCTTTTTCAATTATTCTTTAGTTCTCGATTTTTCTTTCTTTTTTATTTATTTTTTCTTACTGCCATCTTTTTTTATTTCTTATTTATTTAACGTTTTCCATTTATTTTTCTTTCTTTTTCATTTTTCTATTTTTCATTTATTATTTGCTTGTCTTTTTTCTTTTCATGTATTTTCTATTTTCCTTTGTTTTTTATTCATTTATTTTTTCTCTTTTCTTTCTTTCTTTCTTTCTTTTCTTTCTTTTTTTTTATTCTTTGTTAATTTATTTTTCCTTCTTTTTATTTTCATTTATTCCCTGTCTTATTTTTCTTTTCATGTATCGTTTATTTTCCTTTCTTTCCTTATTTATTTACCTTTTCTCTTTTCTTTCTTTTCTCTTTCTTTCTTTCTTTCTTTCTTTCTTTCTTTCTTTCTTTCTTTCTTTGTCTTTATTCTTTGTTAATTTATTTTTCCTTCTTTTTATTTTCATTTATTCTTTATTTGTCTTTTTCTTTTTTATATATTCTTTATTTTCCTTTCTTCTTTCCTTATTTATTTACTTTTTCTCTTTTCTTTCTTTTTTCTTCTTTCTTTCTTTTCTTTTTATTTATTCTTTGTTAATTTTCTTTTTCTTTCTTTCTTTTTATTTTCAGTTATTCTTTCTTTCTTTGAAAGTCTAAGCCCACCCCTTACTTGTTTTTAGTTTTATTACCTTATTGCCACCATTTGTTCCCCGGCCACACCTCCCTCTTATTTAAAAAAAAATGCTTTTAAAGGAATTTTCTTTTTTGTCTTCATTATTATAATTTAAAGGATTTGTTTTATTTTTTACGCTGGTGGTAGTGAAGGGAGAATATTTTCTTTTATATCAGTCTCATAAATTCTCATTTTATGATGTTGAGTCCTAAATTCTCTTCAATGATATCGATAAAATTAATGTGCTACTCAGAAACTTTTCCCCCTACTCCCATTTTTACGTTTTATTTCCTTCTTTCTATCCTTTATTACCGTAATCATGACTTTGGAAAGAGCCAATGCCAGAAGAAATAAATAAACAAATAAATAAATAAAATGTTCAGTTGAAGAAAATAATGGAAAAATATTTACGGAGTTTACTACTAACAACTGCTGAAACTCATTGACAAAGAAAAAGAACAACAAGAGAAAATGCCTCTGCTCATAAAGCATTCCGAAATGCTTTAATGTAATAACTTACTGTTGGATTGAGAAGGGGGGGTTGCTGTTTATTTATTTATTTATTTATTTATTTGTATTTACAAAAATGTGGGGGGAATAAACCGAATTAAATAGGATACTTTACAAAATGGTACAACCAATTTATGTTCTGAGTAATTGTTTTTAAAATGCATTTTCCTACTAATCTCTCGCTTGAGATTGAGCAACAAAATTTTATCTCAGATCTCCTGCAGCTTCCTTAGTATTCGAGCCAACCTTGGCATTGGTGATATCTTCGGTTTCTCAGTGCTCCTTTGGATCACTAATTCTTGAAATATGTTTGCGAATATATTTGGGATTCTTCAAAGTGTTATAGTAATTTACGACTGACATATTTACCCGTTTTTGTAGCTCAGGAACAGTGTCTTCAAAAGTATTGATTTTCTAGCTGGACCTATTCCAATCTCGCTAGTACTGATAGACACAAATTATACCTTCATGCTCCACAACTTTGTCATATTTCCCTGGCTTTTTATTCTTTTCAGTTTTAATCTGCGGTTTTGCTAGAACAGCAACATCCCGATTTAATAAATCCTCCTCGCTTTGAACCTTATAGGCTCCTCTCGGAGTTGCTGACACTTCTTCTTCTCTTATGTGCCGTGTCCATTCAGGACGTAGGCGATCATGGCTCTCCATTTCCCCCTGTCCGATGTAGCTCTCAATATGTTTTGTCCTTTTACTACTTCTCCCAAACTCTGTTCCATCATCCACTTAAGCCAGCTTAAGTCACGCGTTGTTTTCCCTTGTCTCTCTTTACCTCTTCCGCCCTGTGAGTATCAGATTCTCCAAGCCCTAATTTCTCATTATGTGTCCCAGAAATTTCAGCTGTCTTTTCCTGATGCTAAGTATAAGCTTCCTTCTTGTTTGCATCCTCTCCAAAACCTCATCATTGCTCGCATGTCCAGTCCATGGTATCTTGGGCATCCGGCTGAAAAACCATACCTCCGTTGCCTCGCGTCTCTTCTTTATTTTGAGGAGATCGTCCTACATTCTCTACCATAAAGGAGGACAGATATCAGATCAGTACTCTTTTCTTTGTTACCAACGAAATTCTCCTGTTTCATAATACTCTACCTAACTTTTGGAATGTGTCTTTGTTCATCCCAATACGTCTTCAAATCTCAGCGTCACACTCATACCATCCTCTGTCAGAACACTTCCCAGATATTTAAATTTCACCACCTGCTTCATTTTACTGTTCCCGGCCTGTAAATAGCATTTCGGGCTTATCTTTTTACTGATGACCATATATTCTGTCTTCTTGTAGTTAATGCTTAGTCCCTTTTTCTCGCTATCTTTCGCTACAATCTGCAGGAGGTTTTATAATTTCCTTTCCGTGTCTGCTATCAGCGAAGTGTCATCTGCGTATCTTACGTTGTTAAAATTGTGGCTGCCAATAATGAATCCAGCTAGACTTTCCAGTTCACTCAGAATTGCCCCGCTGTATAGATTGAATAAGTCCAGTGAGAAGACAAATCCTTGCCTTACGCCCCTTTCTATTTTTGTATATCTGCTGAACTCATTCTTTATCCGCATGCAGGCCGTTTCCTGCCAGTATAGATTCATGTTTTATAGACTACTCGAAGGCGTTCGACAAATTAAGCCACATAGATTTATCGGAACTGATCGGAAACCTTGATTATTTTGGAAAGATATAAGAATAATCCAGAATCTATACTGGCCGGAACGGCCGCAGCCACGAGATAGAATTATACAGTGGTTTTTCAAAGTGCAGTTATCAGTTCCAAGCCTAACGAGTTTTGAATTCAGAGTTGTCCTTCTCTTAGTTTAGTTGCCTACCAAGAAGTCAATCTGTTTTTTAAATAATAGTTTGTGGTGGGGTGGGGAAAAGAGATAGATTGATACCTTTTCCTTTCCTTTGATTTATTTGAACAAGGTCCTCTGATTCCACTATCAGTCCCAATGGCCATTCCCTATGCATACAGCGACAAAGACCAACTGTATTTACACGGAATAAATTTGATTCTCTTAACTGCATTGAGTAGTCCATCGAATTCTTGGAATTTTATTTAATACTCGAAGAGAGGTTTTAATTTTTGTATTTTGTAAAAGTAATTTAACCCCCCAAAAGGTAATAAAGCCAATATGACACAGCGAGTTATGTTTTAACCTAGGAAAGATTTCTGAATGAGAAATAACCAATACGGAGGTTGGAAATGAAATGGTAATCATTATAACGTCAACAAAAATACAATACTCGCCAGCGGCGTAAAGTAAATAAACCACTGCTAGTGGTGCACTACTTAGTATATTACACCCACTTACTATAGTGTCCAGCGTATTTTAAGACATACCCATTAATGTTCATAGGTACGGTATATAAAAAGTTACGAAGAGGGGAAGAAATTAAGAAAACATTGAGGAGAGTGAAGAAAATAAAATACCAGTATTCAAGGAGACATAAAATGGAGATAAACGTTGCATTTAACTTTTTGAAAGAAACCAAGAAGCCGAAATTGGGTTACACAAGTGAGATGTGCGAGAGAAGAAACTGTTAGGATAGAAACGTTTACAACTAGATAATTTCTTTTTTGTTCTGTCTACCACAGGTTGTCATCAGGACAATTACCGGTGAAAGTATTTATGTAAAGCCATTCTTCTTTATCTGTCGTTTAATGACACGGACGAATGGCGGCCTTTCACTTGGCCATATTGAAAACGTTCCATCGAGTTTGTAATACCTATGTTTGTAGTTCTGCTGTGCCAAACTCAGTATTTACTGTGCGAATTCTGGTTTCATATGTATCTAATATGAGGTGACAATTACTAATCTCCTGCCTAAATTGACTCTAACATAATCAAATATAGAACTGATTGAGGTTGCTAGTAATTAATATTCAGATTTTATTTTCAAATGTCTTCATTGAAATCATGTCCTTTGTTTGTCTCGTGGAATACGAATGACGTTCCTTTTGTCATATTTACTTCTCGCTTTGAGATTTTCAAATACTGCATTTATAGTTTCGCTTTTGTAACCTTCGTTGGAAACAAAGGAAAGCGTACTTAACTGTTATGTGATATCTGTCCTCCTCTCTGGTAGTGAATTCTGGGCAATCTCCTCAAAGATGAAGGAGAAACTTGAAGCATCAGAAATGTGGTTCTACAGAAGGATGCTGAGAATACCACGGAACGAATATCTAAACAACGACAAATTCTTGGAAGTAATTTCTGAAATTTCTAGCACATATAATGAGGAAAGATGACGTACTCACAGGACATATTGAATGCAAGAGGGACAGAGGAAAACAACGAAAGACATATTTAGTGAGCTTGACTAAATGGATGGCGAAACAGAGTTTGAGGTATGAAGAACAACAAAGGACGAGAGCCGTGATCGCCTACATACTGAGGACACGGTACATGAAGAAGGAACTTTTTTGTTCTGTCTTGTGTCATCCTTTAGTCGTTTAATGACAGCGTCCACAGAATTCAAAATACTAAAACAGTATATACGCTCTACCTTTTTTTATATTGTTTAACATAATATTTCAAATGTCAGCCATTGTGCGTTTTCAGCATCTGTGTTTCTAAATCGGATGTAGCGTAGTGGTGCGTAAAGTGGGATTTGACTCACGAGTTTAAATTTCAGCTTAGTTTACGTTCGTTTTCGCAAAATTTAACTTGTAAACGTATGAAGCCGTCCACAAGTACGGGTTATTACTTTACAGCAATCAGTCTCTAGCTTTCTTCAACCTAACGGGTAACAGACAACGACCCTCGTGGGCCAACGACCCTCATGTATTATAGGACTACTGACGTTTATCGTCCAAACCTCTCTTTTTTACCTTTTCCAGTTTAGAGTATACTTTGTTTATCTTATAGGCATAAAGTCACTTTATTTTTTGTTTTTTATAGTTTTTTCTACTGTGTATATCCTTCAAAAGTTTTCTCATTCTTCTCTTCTCATCTATTCTGGTATTTTAAATAATTCTGTTTAGATTTTATCTTTTCTATAACTATTTTAATGGCAACTTCTCTGACAAGCTTTTTTTCTCTGATGCTCCGACTACATTAATTTAAGCGTGCTACTAGATTGGCCTTCCAGGTCCCACCCGTTGGCTGTTGAAATAGTTAAACGCAACAGCCACTCTACTCCAACAGTTTCTTTTCTCACACTTCCTGCCCTTGGAACTTCCGTTTACTTGTTTCCTTGACAACTACAATTTTCAAAAAATTATATGAAGTGTTAATCGCCATCTTCTTTCGTCTTGAATTCCGTTAATCTTTTGTCCTTTCCTCAATCCTCCCTCCTATTCTCAATCTTTTTTCTCACTTTCTCTCCCTGTAACCACTTGCGTACTAGTGGCATTCCCGGTGAAATTATTAAAAAAAATTGAACTCACTTGTAATATTCCTACATATTGTTTTCTCCTTTTCGTATCTTGATTTAATTATTTAAAACATGATTTTCTTCAAACTATTC